GCAGTGATGTCCAGGGATAGGAGCTTGGGGGCTCTCTTTATATCCATGGCACCGAGTCCCCCACCATGAAGCTGCCCCCAATTAAAATATATGTATTTTTTGATATAGACAATTGATTTTTTTTCTTAATTTTAAGTTAAGTGGGAATAAAAACTCTATTAATTTGCAACGGGTAAGAAAAAACAGTGTACTTGCTATATAAACACAACCGTAAGGCAGGCCCCTTAGCCACTACCCTTCCTTTCTGATCAAATGGCAGCCCTTTAGCCTCTGCTATATAGAAATTCTAAAGTTGTCGCTGGAGCTCAGGGTTGTTAGAGCTCTTGATTTTTTTTTTCCTTTTAAAGATAGCCTGGAAAACTGGACTTTTTCAAAACATTTTCTGATTTTTAAATGTAATTTCAACTTTATAAATTTCTCTTTGGGCCAGCAAAAGACATATCCAAAGGCAATTTATGACTTCTGTAAAAGTATCTCATTAAATCCTTATCACATCTGAGTGAGAGCTATTAGCCTTCATTTTGAGGGGAAGATAGGCTCTGAGAGGCCAAGTAGCTTGCCCCAAAGTCACACAGGAAGTAACTTGCCTGTTATAGATTCTGAGCTCTTTGTATTTATAGTACACTGCTTTTCTGACTTGTCAGGCCTGATTGCTGGCAGCCTCACTTCTTTGTTCTCTTAACTGATTCATTCCATTCAGCATCAGGCCCTTCCTCTAAACAGAGCTTCTATCAGCCCATGTTTCTCGGTTGATACCAACTTCTTATTGGCCTTGTGTTCTGACCTGTGAAAATGGCATGGGAGGTAGAGGCAGGCATCTGGTCTCCTCTAACTTCAAAAGGCAGAAGAAAGATCTAGATCAATAGCCCAAAGCTGATTCCTGTGAGGTGGAAGTCAGACATGCCTCCACCTTCCAACCTTTTTACCAATTCTGACACCAACCTCCCTCCTGTGACAGTCTCTGCTTTGCTGATTCATTGAAATGGCCACACAGAACTCACAGACCATACTCACAGTTAAAGGGTTTATTAGGAAAGTAACAAGTTACAGTTTAGGTTCAGGAAGCTCAAGATACAGTTCTTTGGTCAGGACAGCCTTTTCTTAGCAGCTGTGCCCTAAGCACATCTCTCTCTGGCCCTTGGCCCATTGACTTGGCCTCTGCCCTGCTCAGGCAAGTATTAACAAAGTTTTTTTTAGCTGTGCTGATAAGTGCCTAGAAGCACACCACTCCACCAGTAAGCCTAAGGCATTTGGCTGCTAACCAGAAGGTTGGTGGTTCAAGCCTACCAGCTGCTCCATGGAAAGAAGAGAAGGCAATCTACTTCCATAAAGATTTACCACCTTGGAAATCCAATGGGGATTGCTATGAGTCAGAATCTACTTGATAGCCATGAGTTTTTTTTTGTGTGTTTTTTTTTTTAGTCTTAGATTAATAAGGTCTAGGTCAGAGGACCAAGGAAGGGTATATCTTAAGGAGCTGATTAATCAAAACTAAAATAATAATGAGGATTGCAGATTTGATCTGTCTAAAATATGTCCAGAACCTACCAAAAAAAAAAAAAAAAAACAACCCAAAAAACTCAAACTCACTGCCATTGAGTCGATTGCGACTCATAGTGACCCCTCCTTGGGTTTTCGAGGGGGTATCTCTATGGAAGTAGGTTGCCCAACCTTCCTTCCAAGGAGTGGCTGGTGGTTCAAACCCACCAGCCTTTTGGTTAGTTGTCAAATGACTTAGGCCTTACGCCACCAGAGCAACAACAACTTATCTCCTCCACTTATCTCCTCCTTTTAAGCCACCATTACCTCACGCCTGGATTATTGCAATAACCATCTGACTGGTTTCCTTGCATCTGCCCTTGTACCCTTATAGTTTACTTCTCAACACAGCATTCAGAAAAATCGTTTTAAAAATGTGAGTGTGATTATGTTGCACCTCTGTCCCAATCCCTCCAATAACTTCCACCTCAGAGTAAAAGCCAGAGTCCTTATAATAGCCTACAGGAGCCTTTAAGATCTGGATTCCTGTTGCTTCTCTGAGTTCATTTCCTACTATTAGCACCACCTCACTCATTTTCAGCCACACTGGCTTCCGTGCTATTTCTTGAATGTATCAAGTTTATTCCTATCTCAGAGTCTTTGCCAGTTATTCTGTATTCCTTTTTCCTACACTTCCTTCAGCTGTTTGCTCAGATATCACCTTTTTTAAAGAGACCTTCCCTGACTCCTCTAATTAAAATAAACACACTGCCGTTGAGTCATACCCAACTCATAGTGGCCCCCCTCCTTGGGTTTCCGAGGCGGTATCACTGTGGAAGTAGATTGCCCAACTTTCCTTCCAAGGAGTGGCTGGTGAGTTTGAACCGCCAGCATTCTGGTTAGCAGTCAAATGCCTTAGGCACTATGCCACCAGAGGTCCCCTACTTAAAATAGCAAGCGCCAATACCACTACTCTCGGCACTTCCTATTTCTCTTTATTTATATTGTCTCTCTCACCCCAATAGGATGTTACTCGATGAGGACAAAGTTTTCCTTTTTTTTTTTTAACTCTGTGCCTGGTGCACAGAGATCCCCACTTGACTCATAGCAACTCCTCCTTGGGTTTCCAAGGCAGTATCCCTACGGAAGTAGATTGCCCAGTCTTCCCTATATGCCTGTCTGATTTTTGACTGGAAGCCACAGGAGTGAGTTCAGTTCTAGACCTGAAGGGTAACTCAGGACTATAGTCTCAGGGGTCTCACCAGCCTCTATCAGACCAGCAAACCTGGTGTTTTTTTTTTATGATTTTTAGTTTTGTTCCACATTGTTCTCCCACTCTATCCAGGATCTCCTGCACTGATCCCCACCCCCCAAGTGGCTGACAGTGGTAGCAGGCACCATCTAGTTCTTCTGGTCTCATGTTCATATAGGCTGAGGATCACATGGTCTGCTAGCCCCTTGGTGTTTTTCTTCTTTTTTGTAAAAATATAATGCCTTAGGTCTTTATTGATGCTATAACAGAAATACTACAAGTGGATGGCATAACAAACAGGAATTTATTCTTTTACAGTTTGGAGGCTAGGAGCCTGAATTCAGAGTATTAGCTCTTGGGGCTGAGTGAAGGCCCCTTGACCTTGGGCTTCAGCCCTGCCTCTTGTTCTAGGCCCACTGGAATTAGAGGAGTCTCCTAACTCAGGCAGCTGTTGGCTGCTGAAGCTGATGAACCCAAGATCAGCATGTAAAGGGGCACAGTCCCAAGATCATTAGGCAACATGGTAGGCCACCGGTTCAAGTCCAAGAAGAACCCTAAGATCACCAGGCAATACAGCAGCCTTTTAGTTCAAGTCCAGGAACTGGAGATGAAGATTCAGCCAAATGCAGGATCCAAATGTGTTAAAAAGCTAGAGACTTTTCTCAAAGCTTCTCCATATATACTGGAAGCAGGCCACAACCTGAAGGCAACCCCCCTTCAACTAACTAGGTGCTCACAGCAGATTCTACCATGGAGGTGATTATAGTCTTATCATGGGCAATGACTGCATCCAGCTGCCAAGCCACTCAAAACCAAGGCCCAGCCAAGTTGACACACAACTTTAACTACCACACATAATATAGAAAGAAACATTCTAGATAATCGAGGGACAGCAACATTTGCAGTGCAGGAAAAAAATTTGGACTTTGAAGTCAGTACCTTAGTTTAGAATCTTCATACATCACTTACCAGGTGTAACCTTGGACAAGTGTTTCAGCTATCTAATGCTCCATAACAGACTTCATGTATCTACAGTCAACATTTGTTTTGCTCATGTATCTGCAATATGGACATGGCTCAGCAGAGACAATTCATGTGTCCACTTGGTGTCAGATGAGGTGTCTCAAAATCTGGGGGCTGGAATCACTTAAAAGTTTACTCATTCTCGTTTCTGACATGGAAGACTCAAACGGCTGGGGTTCCTCAGGCATATCTTTCTACTTCTGTGTAGTCTTTCCCCATAATCTCTACAAATTGGTGGCTTCTGAATAGCCAGACTTCTTAAATGTTGACTCAGTGCTATTTAAGGCATTATGTCCCAAAGAGAGAGAGCCAGAAGAAATCTACATTGTCTTTTCTAACCTAGCCTTTGAAGTCATGTGATATCACTTCTGCCACGTTTTGTTTGTTAGATGGTGAGTCTCTAATTTTGGCCTATATTCAAGGGGAGAGGAGTCCACCTTTTGTAGGAGGTGTATCAATGAATGTGTGGATATGTTTTAAAGTTAACATAGCAATAATTTAACCTCTCTAAACCTAGAGCATGGTCATGTGGTCAGAAGTGACCAGTCCCTGGAGAAGGAGATCATGATTGGTAAAGTGGAAGGTCAAAGAAAAAAAGGAAGACCCTTTCTCTAACAAGATAGATTGACACAGTGGCTACAACCATGGGCCTAAGCATAGCAACGATTGTGAGGATGGCATAGGACTGGGCAGTGTTTTGTTCTGTTGTACATAGGGTTGCTATGAGTCAGAATTGACTCGATGGCACACCTGACAACAATAACAAATCTAGAGCTATTTGGGGCAGATTTCATAATCTCCAAGACTATTACTATCCTTATTTGTAAATTGAGTGTGATAATTCATTGGTGTTAAGGATTAGATGTGGAGGTTCTATGAGCATATTGCTTAGTGTAGAAATAAGTTTTTCAAAATTGTTAATTCTTCCTCTCCTTCCTTCTTCAAGCTTATTGAATTCCAGTTAACTCTCATTTGTTATCTTTCCAAAATTAAAAAATAAGCAATATGAGGAAGGACTTTCTTACTCATGTTTTTATTTTTCGAGTGGAACATATATCAAAGAAGAAAAGGCAGTCTAGCTGGCAACCAAGTAATATGTGCATAGGGGATCCATGAGTGGTGTGATGTACTCGTGCATTGGGTAGCTGAGATGTGCAGTGGAGAACTAGAGTAGATGGCCTGTGTGTAGATCTTGGTGGGCTGGCTCCCAGGCATCTCTTTTGACTTGTATGCCTTTCCCTTACAGTTCTTGAGAGAAGATCTCAATTACCATGACCCAACCGTGAAACACAGCACGTTCCATGGTGAGGATAAGCTCATCAGTGTGGAGGACCTCTGGAAGGCATGGAAGTCCTCAGAAGGTAATAGGCAGTCTGGTTGTTTAATTCTAATTGCTGGACAATTGACAAAAGAGAGAAGATGAACAGCGACTTGGCTTTAACAGCACATTAATCTAAAATGATTAGTTAAGGTCAAATTACTGAAATGATTTCTGTGTGTAGTCAATGAATAACACTGAATATAATCACCATTCTGGGAATGGGAGAAAGTGCTTCAAACAGACCAGGCCTCTGAAATTGTTCTTTATTAGAATGCTTTCTGAATCCCATTGTAACTCTTTCTTCTCACCCTCCCACCCACATGGGACTCTCTCAGCTTGTACTACTTCACCTCCAATGATAGGAAGTTTTCTGGCCTCTGAACTAGTCCCTTTGTTTTGTAGCTCCCCACTTTGCCTCATCTCTGCTGAGTTGGAGATGATTCAAAGATTGGGTAGAAGTACAGATGGAGTCTTCTCTGCTTCAGGTTATATCGCCCAAGTTGTATGAGGAAAACATGTTTCCTCAGCTTCCTCTTCAACTTGGTTTCCTGCTTGGGAACACTTTTGTTAATGTCTTTCTTAGATCATGGCTCCTAGAACTGGATGCAGAAGTCTGGGTGTGGTTTGATCAGTATAGAATTGAGCAGAGTTGTCAACTTCTTGGTTCTAGACTCTGTGCATCTGCTAATGCAATCTGATTAGATATTCTTCTGACTCATGTTGAACTTACTGTTCATGAAAACTTTTAGCTCTTTTTTATGCATAAAACTGCTAAACCATGACTCGCTAATTATTTTCTTTTGAGCATTTACTTTGGAGTTCTGAGTGAGAGAGCGTGTCTAATTGTGTGAGACTTGACAGGAAATGAAAAACAGGACTTTAGCTTCCTCTCCATTTGTATCTGTGACTAGAGTTTCCTTTGATGCCAACAAGATTAGAAGCAGTCTCTTCCCACAGTCTCTTAGTATAGGTCCTGATGCTAAGAAAGTTAGATGTGAGTGACTAGCAGGGTGATAGTCCCTGGTTTTGCAGATAAGGAGCCTAAGGCCCAAAATTGTGAAATTACTTGTTCATTGTACTCACATGTAGTTAATAGTAGAGCTGGGACTTAGGCCTGGGTATTTTGTTCCCTGTTGTTGTTTGTTGTTATGTGCTGTCGAGTCGTCTCTGACTCATAGCGACCTTATGTCCAACAGAATGAACTACTGCTGGTCCCCGGTCCTGTGTCAGCCTCACAATCCCAGCTATACCTGAGCCCATCATTGCAACCACTGTGCCAATCCATCTCGTTGAGGGCCTTCCCCTCAAGCATGACATCCTTCTCCAGAGAATGGTCACTTCTGAACATGACCAAAGTAGGTGAGACGAAGTCTGGCCATTCTTGCTTCCAAGGAGCTTTCTGGCTGCACTTCTTCCAGGACTGATTTGTTAGTTCTTCTGGCAGTCCGTGGTACTTTCAGTATTCTTTGCCAACACCACAACTCAAAAGCATCAACTTTTCTTTGGTCTTCCTTGTTCCTTGTCCAGCTCTCACATGCGTAGGAGGCAATTGAAAATACCAAGGCTTGGGTTGGGCACACCTTAGTCTTCAAGGAGACATCTCTGCTCTTCAGCACTTGAAAGGTCTTTTGGAGCAGATTTGCCCAGTGCAATAAGTCATCTGATGTTTTGACTGTTAAGTCTCCTGATTTTTTTTTTTTTTTTCTTTACTTACTTATTTTTTTTGGAACATTTTATTGTGATTTGGGTGAAAGTTTACAGGGCACATTACTTTCACATTCAACAATATATACGTATTTTCTTAACATTAGTTGCAATTCTTTCAATGGGATAGCACTCTTTCCACTTCCTCCCTGAGTGCTTCCCATTTGTCCCTCTTTCTTGCCCCTTCCTGTCCTCTGAACTTTGCAGCCAATTCCTTGTTGTTGTTGTTGTTATGTGCTGTGGCGTCACCCCGACTCCTAGCGACCCCTCCTTGGGTTTCTGAGGAGGGATCACTTTGGAAGTAGATTGCCCAGCCTTCCTTCCGAGCAGTGGCTGGTAGGTTTGAACCTCCAGCCTTCTGGTTAGCAGTCAAATGCCTTAGGCACTATGCTACCAGAGCTCCCTAGCCAACTCCTTAGTGACTATTAAATAAATAATAAAGCTTATTTGTAAATCACAGCTGCTCTGAGTAAACTGAATGCAGAGCCTCTAATACAGTGTCTTTCCATTTTTTGAGCTGTGGTGCTCATTTTCCAGAAGAAACCTCATACAAAACCCCAAATATATCAAATAGATGAAAGCAGTAAGGCTCCTGATTTTTAAGAGTGGATTTCACAAATAGGAACTTAAAATGAAAGGTGGCAGAGAGAGCCTTTTCTAAATGCTCCACAGAAGTAGCTGGGAAGGGAAAGTGACCAAGAGAGGGCAGAAACAGAGTGTTATGAATCATAATACTAGAAAACAGCCCAAGACATTTTTCTGGTAAGAACTTTATTTCTGGACCCAGCAACTATTTGGAACACTTCCAGTGTGTTCTAATTACAGGAAGATGTAAGACAATGGAGTGAATGTTAGGGGACCCATTGCTGATGAGCGGAGGAAAACATGTCAGTGCACAGTGATATAGTTCACAGCTATATGTGAGAGATAAACATCTATCATTTTAGGATTTACTCACTGTGTGTCATACTTTGTGGTTTCTCAGACTAAAAGTAAGAATCATCCTGTGTCCTATTTTCCCCAATAATTTGCTTCATTATTCAGAGTAAGGCATTGTCTCTGGAGTGATGATTTCCAGAGCATGTAATTTTCTGGCACTGGCCCATATTGGCTGGTCTTAGTTTAGCTAGATGATGTAGCTGTCCACAGTGGTCATTTGTGTTCAGAACATAAGCTGGCTAATGTCAGTATCATCTATGTGGTTGGTGTTGTTGACATTTTCTAACTAATGTTGGGAGCCAGTCTTTTCTCTGTGTTACTTAGATCTTAGCAGGAAAGCCTACTAATTGCTGCATTAGTCAGCTCAGGACTTTAATAATAAAACAACAACTCAAAGAATGACTGTAGCATTTATATAATGGTTGCTATGTCAAGACACTGTTTTGAGTACATTACATACATTAACCCATTTATTTCTCATAACAACATTATAAAATGTGGATATTATTATTGTCCCCATTTACAGATGCAGAAAATGAGACTGAGAGAGATTAGGTAATTAAATAAGGTAGAAATGAAGAAGCAGGCCTGAGGAAGGCCCCCAAACAAGAGCAACCCCAAGGACCCATCTGCAGATTAGAAGACTGATTATCTCTAACGGGTTGCTGTCTGATGACTTGGCCTCATTCATTTTTCTTTCCTAAGTGTCTTTGCTCTAGAGTCAGAGAGGTGGGGAGTTAATCAGATTAGCATAGCTAGGCTCACAGACCTATACAGAGCAGTGGTAGTGGGAGTGTGTGTATGTGTGGGGTGGTGGTGTTGTGATTTGCAGTCCCTCCAGGACCATGTGAGATGAGGAGAGTGACAGTTTGCTAAAGGAAGAGATGCTAGGTAGATTTTGTAGAATCCTTGAGAGATACAAATGTTTGCATATTTGAGCCTATGGAAAAGGAGTAGTGTCCTTTTGTGGTGAGGGATGGAGAGGGATTAACCCAAGAAGATTGACCTCTACAAGATGGCTTTCGTTGTTCTAAACCAAGTACATCATTGTTTCTCCTCCCCCTTCATGGACATTAGGTTATAAAAGATGTCATATGCCACACAAGGTATATTTCATAAATAATAATTTCTTCTTTCATTTCTATGAATCAAAATACTTTAACTGTCAATTTGTGATTTTAATTTAATGATATGTTTCCAGCTAAAAGGAAAAGTACTTGATATTCTAGAGGGCCTATGAGACTTTATCATGAGAACATATTTATCTTCAGTAGGCTTTTGGAAATAATAAAATAAGTGTAAGAATCTCCAATTCTGTCTGTGTTACTCTTGGGAGCATAGGATTTTTCTTCAGGAGGCAGTGGAGCAGTGCTGGAGAACGTTTTAAGAGAAAACCAAGCAGGACTGGCCTCTCTCTGTTGACACAACACAGGGGGACGGGATGGCATAGTATTCTTTGTAAACCGTTTTAAAAGTAAGATCAACACGAAAAAGTTGGCGCCCCTTTTTGCTTACATAAACTCGGTGACAGACATGTTTATTCTATTGTTTAGCTATTAAATTTTTTTTAATTGTAGTAAGTATATAAAACAAAACGTTTGCCATTTCAACATTTTTTACACATACAATTCAGTGACATTAATTATGTTCATGTTTTACAACCATCACCACTATCCATTTATCATCACTCTTAACAGAAACTCACCAAAATCAATATAAAACCCAACCACATTGCCATCAAGTCAATTCCAACTCATAGTGACCCTATAAGACAAAGTAGAACTGTCTCATAGGCTTTCCTAGGCTATGAATCTTCACAGAAGCCACATCTTTCTCCCATGGAGTGCTTGGGGTTTTCCAATTGCCAAACTTTTGGTTAACATGCAAGCTTTAATCACTGTGCCACCAGAGTGCCTTCAACAGAAGAAACTCAGTGTCTCTTGATTAGCTATTTAATTTTGCTGAGTGAATCTTCATGTCATTTAAATACCTCAGCCATTAGTTGCGTGCTTCTACATTTCTTGGGAGAAACATACAATTGGCTTTGTCTTTCCCTTATATTCTTACAGTTATTTTTTTTTTTTATGATAACAAAACATTTATCATTTATCACAGTCATTTTTAATTTATTTTAAATAGTCACTTGAGATAAAGGGCCTTTCTTTTATCTCTGTTTAATGAATGAGGAAACAAAACACCTCTCACTTTATTTCCACTACCAAGTCCTGAGAACTCTGCTTCTTTAATGTATCTTGCGTGCATCTTCTCTGACACTGCCTTATGAAACTCCACTTCATCATCTTTTTTTTTTTTTTTT